CCAGAGATGGAGGCAGAGATGGGGGCATGGAGAGGGGGAGCGGCTGAGGACTCTAGATTCATCAACTAAGAAGAGAAGGACTAAGAGCTGGTGGCCAGGAGCAGACTTGCTGAATGTGCCCTTTGGAGATGTAAATTATTATATATGCCTGAGTGGGGAAAAAAAAATAATAATAACACTATGGATTCATATGATTAACACTAACTAGAGATAAAAATACATACCACGGTTTAAAAAAAAAAAAAAAAAAAAAGGACAGATAAGCCAACGCAAAGCTGAGCGGAGAAAGAGGGCAGCTAACTGCAGGGATGTGGCTCCGCACATCCAGAAACATACTTCCGAACTAGAGCACATGGAAGAGGCAGGGAGGCCCGGGACAGGTCACAGGGAGGCTGCGGAGGGGACGTGGGGGGTGGCGGAAGGTGTCCTCCAAGCGATCGCAAAGCGCCGTCGCGCCTCGAGGTAGCGTCACCGTCAGACGAGGAAGCGTGAGAGGGGCGCTAAGGCACACGCCGGCGAGAATGGAAGACGAGAAAGGAACTTGGGTGAGGAGACGGTAGGCCCAGCACTGAAGGATGAGGTGAGGAACCGGCCTTCCTCTTGAAGAAGTCCCCTCAGACACCCGCGCGCGAAGACCGTTTGGACGTAACCGCCTCTCGTCTCGGCGCCCGTCTACCCAGCCGGGCATTGCTCCGACACCGCCGCCACATCCCGCTCCTAATTCCCGCCCAGCTTCTGCTAGGTTTCCAGCCCGCGTCTCACAGCCACCCCCGCCAACTCAGTCAGCTCCGCACCTCACACACGGCTCGTCGGCGGCCGCCGCCATCTTCCCGCGCGCGCGCCCCAGCCCCGCCCCCAGGCGCCGCTCCCACGTGACTACTCTCCCGGGACTACTTACGTGGGTCGGGTTTGCGTCACGTGATTCAGGGGCGTGGCCAAGATGGCGCTACCCAGGGAGGTAGGGAGCCCGCGGCAAGAGTGTCTGTGACTGTGAGGAAGGTAGTCGCGTGGCTACATCTCGGTGGCAAATTGGAGGCGGTGGAGAGTAACCGGGCTTCAGCTTACAGACCGCAGAGAGTGACCTCCAGTAGAGCATCTCTCCTCGCTATTGGAGAACGGAGGTAGCCGGTTACTAGCTGTGTGTAGCTGTTGTCCTCTGCCTGGAGGTGCTGTGGGGTCAAGAGTCAAGGCGTCTCCAGTCACTCCGTCTTTCCCCGGGCCTCAAGTCTAGAGCTATGACCCGAGATAGCACTCCTCCAGCTCCAGGAGCTAGAGCTCCGCTGAGCGGGTCAGTGCTGGCGGAGGCGGCAGTGGTGTTCGCCGTGGTGCTGAGCATTCACGCTACTGTGTGGGACCGATATTCGTGGTGTGCTGTGGCCCTCGCAGTGCAAGCCTTCTATGTCCAATACAAGTGGGACCGTCTGCTGCAGCAGGGAAGCGCTGTCTTCCAATTCCGAATGTCTGGCAACAGTGGACTACTGCCTGCTTCCGTGGTCATGCCTTTGCTTGGACTGGTCATGAAGGAGCGCTGCCTGGCTGCAGGGAACCCACACTTCGAACGTTTTGGTATTGTGGTGGCAGCTACTGGTATGGCAGTAGCACTCTTCTCATCTGTGTTGGCACTGGGCATCACTCGACCGGTGCCCACCAATACTTGTGTTATCTCCGGCTTGGCTGGAGGTGTCATCATTTACATCATGAAGCATTCGCTGAGCGTGGGTGAGGTGATCGAGGTCCTGGAGGTCCTGCTAATTTTCGTGTACCTCAACATGATCCTGCTGTACCTTCTTCCCCGCTGCTTCACCCCCGGAGAGGCACTGCTGGTATTAGGTGGCATCAGTTTTGTACTTAACCAGCTCATCAAGAGCTCTCTAATTATAGTGGAAAGTCAAGGGGACCCGGTGGACTTCTTCTTGCTGGTGGTGGTGGTAGGGATGGTGCTTATGGGCATCTTCTTCAGCACCCTGTTTGTCTTCATGGACTCAGGCACCTGGGCCTCATCCATCTTCTTCCACCTCATGACCTGTGTGCTGGGCCTTGGCGTGGTCCTGCCCTGGCTACACCGACTCATCCGCAGGAACCCCCTGCTCTGGCTCCTTCAATTCATCTTCCAGACAGACACTCGTATATATCTCCTAACCTACTGGTTTCTGCTGGCCACCTTGGCCTGCCTGGTGGTACTGTACCAGAATGCCAAGCGTTCATCTTCTGAGTCCAAGAAGCATCAGGCTCCCACTATCACCCGGAAGTATTTCCACTTCATTGTGGTAGCCACCTACATCCCAGGTATCATCTTTGACCGGCCACTGCTCTATGTGGCTGCCACCGTATGCCTGGCAGTCTTCATCTTCCTGGAGTATGTTCGATACTTCCGCATCAAACCCCTTGGCCACACTCTGCGGAGCCTCCTATCTCTCTTCTTGGATGAACGAGATAGCGGACCACTCATCCTGACCCACATCTACCTGCTCCTGGGCATGTCTCTTCCCATTTGGCTGGTCCCCAGGCCCTGTACACAGAAAGGTAGCCTAGGGGGAGCAAGGGCCCTGGTCCCTTATGCTGGCGTCCTGGCCGTGGGTGTAGGTGACACTGTGGCCTCCATCTTTGGCAGCACCATGGGAGAGATACACTGGCCTGGAACCAAAAAGACTTTTGAGGGGACCATGACGTCTATATTTGCCCAGATCATTTCTGTAGCTCTGATCTTAGTCTTTGACAGTGGAGTGGACCTAAATGACAGTTATGCTTGGATTTTGGGATCCATCAGTACTGTTTCCCTCCTAGAAGCATACACTACACAGATAGACAATCTCCTTTTGCCTCTCTATCTCCTGATATTGCTGATGGCCTAGCTGCTGTGCAGCAACAATGATGGAGGAAACAGCAACCTGGGGAGAATGAGTGGCCCTCACAGCAGCCAGCCACTTGGACATGTAGAGCCAAGGGGTGAAAAGCAGATTTGATTTTTTGAGTTTGTTCAGATTTAAAATAAAAATCAAAGCTCTCCTGGTTTTAGTTTAGGTGATGCTTTAAAAAAAATTTTTTTTTAAGCCATAAAAGATAGTACACAAACTTGAATGTGCTGTAGATTTCTACCACCCTTTTCCCTGAGGTCCTCAGAGGGGGCCAGAGTAAACACTGGCAAAAGATTCTGCTGTCAGACTAATCTGATTAGAATCCTTGCCTGCACTACTTATTAATTGTGTGGCCTCAATTCTATTGTCTGCAGCATGGAAAGAATGATAGCATGTACCTCCTGGGAGTATGTGCAGATCCATCGAAATGAGGTGTGTGAATGTCCAGAGCAGAGCATATTGAGTAGTCCATGAAGAAAATTGTCATTACCTAAGACTAGTCTCATAAAAAAATTAAAAGGCATGCAAGTTAAGGTGGTTTTATCAATTGTACTTCAAGAACAATGACTTTTACTCCCCTGCTACATTTGAAGGAGGAAAACAGGAAGTAGCTGAGTGCATGTAGTGTCTCCCATTTGGGCTAGGAAGAACTGAAGCAGAGACGTGGGAGCAGCTTGTTGCATGCATGGCAAGGCTGGGGGAAAAGGATTAAGTCCTAGGCTGATGTCTTGTTTCAGCCACCCTCCCCACTCACACCCCTACCTCCAAGACTGCCTGGGTGAGTGGTGTTGTTTAGCTTGACAGCGTAGGGTCTTGTCAAGGGGTCCCTCCTGAGACCCTCTCACATCAAACCTGTGTTTATCTCTTACATTGACACTATAGTACAGCCTTTAACAGGTTGAGAGGGACTGGAGGAGTTTCTTAGGCATTTAAAATAGCTCTACTCTGGAACTATGCCCAAGCAAGGGGCCCACTCTCCAATCTTGCTTTTTTCATTCCACTGTATATTCCAGTGTCAACACAGAACCTGACATAGAGCAGGAACTCAGGCAACATTCACTGAATGGATGAACGTTTCCTGTCAGTGGAAAGATAATAGAGTACATTCATGACTGGATAAGGTTCTCCCCAATTCTCATCCAGTCTGGCAGGGACAGGCCTAACAGACAGAGAGGAGAACTTTGGTCAAACAAGGCCAGAAGCCAGGAGTGCTGCTGTGGGAGCTTGAACTTCGTCTGAGAGTCACTGCCAACTCCTTTTCCTTAGAGGAGAGTATTGAGACAGACAGTCCTTTGGCGTACAAAGGAGACTTAACACATTGGTCCTTTCCTTCAGGCTCCCTTCTGCTTATAAAAGGAGATAGCAGTATCAACTTTGCCGCACTGACTCCCTACGTTATCTGGGGAAAGGGTTTTCATCTCTGGACCTTGGTTTGTCGATGTATACAGTGGTGAGCTAGACTAAATCAGAGTCCCGAACTCACCCTCCAAGGCCAGGCAGGTAACAGATGAACCAGGGAAGAGGGAACTGTGCCTGAGCCAGGAGCACATGTGCCGGTAAAGAAACAACTCCAGCTGGCAGTCCATACTAAAGTGTGAGCCTGTGTTGTTGGCTTGTGCGCATTCAAGGGAAACTTAAAAGCCTGGATTTTTATGTAAAATCTCCCAAGTTTAAAAAAAGTATAAAACACATCCTTAGTGGATTCAGCCCATGGCCCTCACTGTGTGCCCTCTGGACCAGACCTTGGTCTGTAGGGGCCTGCCAACTAGACAGGATTAGGATTCAGCAGCTATTCCCACAGAGGATACCTGCTGAGAATTCATTCCCAAACTCCTCTTGAGAGCAGGGCTGCCTGGGAGAAAAGGAGCAAGAAACTGTATTTGGAAGTAATTTTTATTCAGTGTCTCACAGAGTTGCACCCTGGAGGACAGAAGTGTGAAAAACCAACAGAAGGCTACCTGGGAAAGCAGGAGTGGGGGAGGGGGGGTGCAGAATATGTTTTGGGGAAGCAGGGAGGTAAGATCTTGGGCACAGCCTCTGCTACTGCCCAGCCACTCTCACCTCTTGCTTGTTGCCTATGGGTCTCAGGACACAGATACTGGCAGACCAAAGGAGACGTGGTGACTTCACCATTACAGCCAGGAGGTCAGGTGAGGCAGCCTGGCCTGCTAGCAGTGTTGACAGCCTCTCCTGGGAGGGGCAGTGCCCCAGTCCTGCTGAGGGCCATCAGGTGTACAGCGAAGGAAAGGGCAGCTCAGCTGTTGGCTGGAGCCTGCAAAGGACAAAAGAGATGATCTCAAGAGGTAGGTCTTACTGTTCCCAGCCTTCAGCACCTCCTCAGGAAACCATTAGGGCACCGCCCCACTCCTTCACCTGCCCATTCCCCCATTGTTGCTCTACCAGTTCTCTGGGCTCCAGACAGTGCCAGAAGCTTCCATGAGGTGGAAAGTGTAGGCCTGGCGAGAGTGGTTGGAAAGGTTCTGCTCACTCTTGTGCACCACTTCTCCATGGATTAGAACGAGGGCCCCTAGTGAGGATCCAAGCAGGTCATGCTCCTTCCCTGGGCCTGGGAGGACACCAGCATATACTTCCCCCTTCCCAGGGCAGGAAAGGACATTGGTCCTCCTTCCTCAAGCAATTCTGTACCCCTTCCCCCCAAATCGATCCCCATTCCCATCCTAGTTGCTCAGTCCCTGCAGCTTGTTCCAGGGTCAGAGGCTCTGCTGTTAGAGGTGGGTTTCTGTGGTATGCAAGCCCCTTCTGCTGTGTCTCTGCAAACCTTAGGAAGGGCAGCCCCTTCCATAGTGTTTGCAGAAGCAGACAGAAGCTCTCCATACTGTGCCGATCAACTATGGCCTTGGCCTGTGAATATTCCCCTTGGCCCTGGTATGGATAAACACTGGACTGGTAGCCTCAAGGTTGGCAGTTGAAACCCACCTGCTGCTCTCGAAACCCTATACAAGGTTGCTATGAGTTGGAACCATCTTGACAGCACACAACAACAAAGAAAAGGGTGGACCAATAGCCAGAATTTGTTGAGGACTTGCTGTGCGCCATACATGTACGGTATAAATGTCTCTTAGACATCATCTCACTTATTTATCCACTCTGTTGTTGTGTGCCATTGAGTCAATTGTCCATATGACAAAGTAGGACTGCCTCATCGTGTTTCCTGGATGGTAAGTAATCATTACAGGAGAGTCCTGCAGGGTAATGTGCAGGACTGCAAAGTCAATTTAAACTGCAAGGTCAGTGGTTCACGGTTACCAGCCACTCCTCGGAAACCCTATACAAGGTCACTATGGGTTGGAACCAACTCAACAGCACTTAACAACAACAACAACAACAACAAATCATTATAGGCATAGACTGTTGCTTCGTTTCTCCCATAGAGCCACTGGAGTGTTTGACCCACTGGCCTTTCAGTTAGCAGCCAGCACTACCAAGGATCCTTCATCCCTACTCTACATTTGGAGAAACTGAGGCTCAGAAAGTGCCAGTCATTTGCCCAAAGATTTCAGTCTTTAGGCAAATGACTAGACCTGATACAAAGATAGTAGTATCTGGATTTGACCTTAATCTGGAAACCTTGCTATTAACCACACTGCTAAATGCCCATCCAGCCCTGACCTTCTCTCATTCTGTAACTTTTCAGGCCTCAGGTGAACCCATGGGGAGCCTGATAGGTACTGGTTTTCAGGATGAGGAGGGACCCATATGCTCCCTGTCCTCTGCAGTCATCCTACCTCTCTGCACAGGTGTAGGCACAAAGAGACTGCCTTCCCAGGTTGGCTCTGACCCAAGGAAGCTAGTGCCAGGCACTGAGCCAGCAGGGGCCCGGACCATCCTTCTTGACACTCCACCTGTAGGCCGAGTTGAAACCATTAGCCCCTCTTTTCTCCAGGTCCCTCTCTATGGGCCTAGGAGGGTACAGGTAGGCAGACAGAAACAGATGTTCTCACTGGTATGCGAGCCAGGAATAAACCAGAGGCAGCCGTTCTCCAGCGTGGCATCCTCAAGTGCAATCCACATGCCCAGAACCCGGCCCAGTGGCTCCGTGTACAGGAAGGAGGCATCCTGGTGAGGCGAGACTGCAGCAGGCCCACCAGGGAGTGAGGAACCCACCCCTTTTCGCTCCCACCACCACCACTACCTCAGTCCTCCCCAAATCCTCCAGGGACAGCCTTCCCACAACCAGTTAGAATCTTGCCCCTTCTTGGTCTAAGACTTTGGGCAAGAGATCTCACTTTTCAAAACTTTGATTTCTCCAACTGTAGAGTGGCTCTAACAATAGCTCACCTCTTAGGGCTGCTGGAAGTTTCCATTAAGATGATGTACAAAAGCTGCATAGTACAGAGCTTGACATTGCTTGCTAAAAAGTTACTACTATCATTTAATTTCAGCCACATAACTAAAACCACTGTCTTACCAAAGACAAGCAGCTTTCAGCCACTAGATGGATTGGGAAGCTGGGTGCAAAGTGGGGGAAGACTATGACCAAGCATCCATAGTTTTAAATGTGATGCTAGGGCCCAGGCAGGATGGAAACTGCTCAACAAGACAGTGAAGTCTGCAGTAATACAGTAAGGGAGTACTGCCCTCACCTTCTTGCCTAGAGAACGGTGTTTTTTGGAGCACCAGACTTTCAGAGGGACTAGGAGAATCTGGATGGCATCCAGAGGAAGGTATTCTAATGACTGCGGCTCCAAAGCCTTGGTGGAGGAATGGCTGAAGGAATGAGGGGTACTGGGTTTGGGCAGAGAAGACTAAGGTCAAGGCTCCAGATGCCCTTGGGCTAAATGGCAGGGAGGCGGAGGGTAGTCACAAGGAGGTAGACTTGGGCTCATGCAAGGAAGGAAAGAGCTGTGAAGAGTGACCTCCCTGTCACTGGAGGTATTTAAGCAGAAATGGGGATTGTAAAGAACATCTGTACATCTGGTGGAAGTTAGAATTAGATCAGTAATTGCTATGCTGAATCAGTTCCCAGGAAGCGTCACAGGAAATACAGATTCCCAGGTCTGTGTAGCCCTGTTGTGGTGGTGCTGTTGAGTTAGTACTGACTCATAGTGACCCTATATAAGGTTTCCAAAGAACGGCTGGTGAGCTTGAACCACCAACCTTGCAGTTCAAAGCAACCTTACAGTCCAGCACATTAACCCATAGTGCCACACTAAGATTCAGTCCTACTGAATCAAAATCTCGGGGGGCAGGGGATAGGAGTCAGTGTTTTTAACAAGCAAGGGTTGCTGCCAGGATGAGGACTCCTGCCTACAGACATCTCAGCAATGGGTTTTCTTTCCTCCCCAAACGTGACAACCATCAATATCCTAGATCTCCTGCCCGTGGTCTTTGCTGGGCCCTACAATCTACTCTCAACTCACCTTCACCGCCAAAGTGAGGTTGCTGAAAGAAAGAAGCAGAGCCTGGTGAGGACAGGGAGTGTGGGAGGTACAGAGGCTAGCTGAGTCTTGTGAGATGCCCTGCCTTCACTCCAGGTGCTTACCTTCCCAAGAATTCCACCGCAACACCTAGCTATCAAGCACCTACCACGTGGCAGCCTTTGGGGAATGCAAAGAAAAAAAGCACCCTGTACATCAGGGCTAAACAGGAGTCCACAACACAGAATGAAATGAGGGCAAGAGGGAGAGGTGAAGATGAGGACAGTGGTTATGCCTTTCACCTTCCAGCTGAGACATGGGGCCCTCCCTTCTCAGGGGAGCTGGAAGGCTTCCTGGAGGAAGCACTGAGCTGGGCCTTTAAAGCTGAGAACAGAGCATTTTGATAAGCAAACGAAAGAGGGAGTCATGAGGAGCCTCTTCCCTCCAATCACCAAATCTTGACTGAGCACCAAGTGTCAGGTGCCTCCCATCAGAGGAGACCAATTTTACATGGGCTGTGTGGAGTAAATAGTAAGCCCTCAATCCCTCAGGGGAGCTGTTTCTGGCCCATTGTAAAGAGGGGCTTGTGTGAGCACTGTGCAGATTTCACAGAAGGGAACCTGGTGTGGGAAGACAGGGAGCTCACCTTGAAGATGTACATACTCTGCACCACCACAGGCATCTGAAGGCCCAGACTCCTGGTCAAGGCCTGGAAGGGGACAGGGGTCATGATACTGGCCTGCCCACCTGGCCCTCACCCCATCCTATGCTTACCTGTATCTTGGGGGAGTGTGTGACACACCTGAAGATTGGGTCATGGGCATGCAGAGCTACAGGGACAGAAGTGGGCTGAGTGAGTGGTCATGTGTCTCTCTCATGCCTAGCTTGGGCACCCAGACTCAGGTCTCATTTTTACTTCTTCACCCATTCCCATAGATGCCTTCATTCCACTCCAGGCTTCATCCCTCCCCTATCCGACTTTACTCTTGGTCTTGCTGTCATCTGGGAACCTCCTTCTAGTCCTGACACCCAATTCCTCACAGATGATGAAGGGCTTCGAGGGGCCCATCACTTGGTAGAAATCTCTGTACTGCCATTTACTCTGTGAGTAACTTTGGGAAACCATTCCACTTCTGTAAGCCTCAGTCTCCTCCTCTAAAATGCAGGCCAAAAGAATAGCCCTACCTCCCAATGCTGTTAGAAGGGCTAACACATGTACAATTACAGCACAGACTAGTCACCATTTGCTATCATTATTGCTATTTCAAAAAGTGAGGGTTTCCTGACTTGCTTTTGAACATATTTGAATAAGAACCATGGCAGCATGGCAGCTGCTCCTTGAGGAGGCTCCGGGAAGCAGTTGGACCCAGGACTCAGGCGCTCCTCATTCCAGGGCCCTGGATTATCCTCAGTCCAGGCAGCAGAGAGTTGAGAGGCCTGCATGTGCACATGAGCATGCAGGTGGAACTTAAGTGGACCCCTCTTCCCGGATCTGTGATAGCAACAGCTCAACCATCATATAAATGGCATCATAAGATACAGAAGAGCGGGGCCAGACAGGAAGCCTCCAGCTAAGAATACCAAATGCTCAGCCACTAGCTTACTTTGGTCTTTGGGCAAGGCCCCCAGTCTCTTCAGGTCTAAATTTCTCCATTTTTTCATGCCCTTCCATGCCCTGCTCACCATGTCCAATTTTGTTGATGGACTTCTCTGGAGGGACCAGGAAATTGCCTGGGACACAAGGAACAAGTTAAGACAGAAGAAGAGCCAGAGTCTGCCCTCCCATAGGCAGATGACCTCAGCACCTTCTAGCTCTGGGAGACAGATACTAAGTCCAACCAACCCTCACTGTGGCTGCCCCACACCTTTAGGGCCCCAGCTCCATACCTTCCTTGTCAAAAACCCCTTTCTCAAAGAAGAAACGAATCTTGTCGCCACTGCTCAAGAAGTAGTCCGTGCTGCCCTGTGGAGAGTAGACATCAGAGGGGATGAGAGGACATCAGGGGGCTAAAGCTGAGCCCCCGGCAAAGAAGGAGGGAGGACTCAGGGCTAGAGAACTCCCTCCATGCTTCCCAAACGTGGCCACTGGAGCATGGGACAGTGAACTGGAACCTCAAATGCCTGGAAGTACAGCCTGGTACTCTGAGCATTAAGTTTCTTGCAAACCTTTTAATAAATGATGTGACTCTTCTGCTCTAATTGGACTACTCACTTCACCTCTCTAGACCTTGATTTTCTCATCTGTTAAAGGGAATCATAATAGAACTTACCTCCCCAGAACTGTTAGGAGCTTCAGCAAGAGGCAGAATCTCACAGCACTTGAAAACAGACTCTGGAGCTAGAATTGTTGTTGTTGGGTGTCATGGAGTCAATTTTTGACTCATAGAGATCTCGCAGAGTGGCTAGGTGTGTTCAAACCACCAACCTTTTAGTTAGCAGTTGAGCACTTAACTATTGATCCACCAGTGTTGCTTAACGTTGTTGTTGTGGTTGTTAAGTGCCATCAAGTCTGTTCCAACTCTTAGCAACCTTGTATAAGGTTTCCAAGCCTCATCTTTTTCCCACAGTGCAGCTGGCAGACTCAAACCACATCCCTTGTGGTTCGTAGTCCAGTGTTCCTTAATACTTGGACTCAAATCCCAGCTCTGCCACCAACTAACTATGTCTGACCATGACTACATTACTGAATTTCTTTGGGCTTAGTTTTATCCATAAAACTCAGATGCTATTAAAGGTACCAATCTTAAGGGTGTTGTAAGGATTGCGAGTTGATATCCAAAGAGCTCTATCACAGTCCTTGGAATATGGTACCATGTAAGTATTCTTACTTGGCTTCTGTTATTATTATTATTACATATAAAACACTTAGTGAGGGCATGGCTAAGTGCTCAATAAATACAAACTCTTATCTTCTTCTGTTTTCTTAATAAACTTCCCTTGTAGTGTTTGCACATGAGTAGCTTAATCAATATCACTGAATTCTACATGAATAAATGATTGAATTGGTGAATGTTTCACTTGTAGATTTTTACAATTAAAAAAATAACCTTGTTAATTTTTAAATTTTTATTGTCTTGCTGTTGTCGAGAGTATACATAGCAAAACATACACCAAGTCAACTATTCCAACATGTATCGTTCAGTGACATGGATCACATTCTTCAAGTTATGCAACCATTCTCGTGTTCTTTTTCTGAAATTTTCCTCCTCTCTTAACATAAATTCACAGCTCCCTAAGCTTCCAATCTAATCTTTCAAATTTCTATTGTCACTTTTATCCTATATGTTGTTGTTGTTAGGTGCCATTGAGTTTGTAGAGATTCATAGTGACCCTATGAACAACAGAATGAAACACTGCTTGGTCCTATGCCAGCTTCATAATCGTTACTATGCCTGACTCCATTGCTGTTGCCACTGTGCCAATCCATCTTGTCAGGATCTTCCTCTTTTTCTTCCCCCCTCCACTTTACCAAACACGATATCCTTCTCCAGGGGCTGGTCCCTCCTGACAACATGTCTGAAGAATAAGAGGCAAAGTCTGGTCATTCTAGCTTTCAAGAGCACTCTGACTGTACTTCTTCCAACACAGATTTTTTTGTTTTTTAGCAGTCCATGGTAATTTAAATATTCTCCTGCAGTACCATAACTCAAAATGCATCAATTCTTCTATGGTCTTCCTTAGTCACTGTACAACTTTCGCATGCATATGAGGTTATTAAAAATCCCATGATTTGGGTCAGGCACACCTTAGTCTTCAAACTGACATGTTTGCTTTGTTTTCTTCGCCAGTAAGTATTTTAAGTGCTCTTCATTTTCAGCAAGCAAGGTTGTATCATCTGCATATCACATGTTGTTCATGAATCTTCCTCCAACTTTGATGCCTCATTTTTCTTCATGCAATCTAGTTTCTCGGATTTATCCTATATAGATACTTTTTTTAAAGAACACAATACTCAAGGAAGGAATTTTTTACTAGTTAAACTAAACAATTATTAGGTTTTGAGATGACTTCAGGGAATATTTTTGGTTTAAATTTAAAAGATTATCTCAGGGCAATAGTTTCAAGGGTTCTTCTAGCTTCATGGCTCCAGAAAGTCTGGAATCCATTAGAATGTGAAGTTCCATTCTGTATTTTTTTTCCCTTTTGATCGGGATTCTTATGTAGAATCTTTGATAAAAAAATGTTCAGTAATGGTAGCTGGGCACCATCCAGTTCTGGTCTCCTGACAAAGAAGCAGTTGTTCATGGAGGCAATTAGCCACACATTCCATACCTGCCTTCTATTCCTGATGATCCTTCTCCCTCTGTTGTTCTAGACAAATAGAGACCAGTTGTTGTGTCTTGGATGGCCACTTGCAAACTTTTAAGGTGGCAAGCACTATGCAATGAATGAGGAGATAGAACAGAAGCACTGAACACATTTTTAGGCCAGTTAATTAAAATGTTCCTTGAAATCCTGATCCTAAACTTCCAAATCAAGACATCCTTGTTAATTTTAATATAATATTTCAAAGTTCTTAACATCATATGAGAATTATGTTCTAGGAAGATATCCCATATTTTACGTTTGGCTTTAGAGATCCTTGACCTGACATCATATACAGTGGGGTTTCAAAAAGTTTCCGGAAACTTCTATTTTCTTTTCATTCCTTTTTTCCCATAAGCTTTCTGAAGCCCCACGTATATATCTTTCTCCCCAGCAAGAAGCATTTTACAAATACAGATAGTGCCTATCCTCACATGTGGTGACATAAATAGAGCTGAGGAGTGCCAATCCGCCTTCCTGGGTTCCCCAAGTGGCCACAGTACCATCATTCCCTCATGTGTGCATCTGCTCTCAGACTCGGCCTGTAAGACTCCACTCTATTACCTGCCTGGTCTCTTTCAAAACCTTTCCCACTGAAAGCTAAAACTATTTTTCAGCATTCTTGGCTCTTCTGCATCAGGGTTGTTATTGTTGTTAAGTGCCATAGAGTTGGTTTTGACTCATAGCTACCCTGTATAGGGTTTCTGAGGCTGTAAATCTTTACAGGAACAGAAAACTTTATCTTTTTCCTACAGAGTTGTTGTTAAGTGCCGTTGAGTCAGTTTTGACCCATAGCGACCCTGTACAGGGTTTCCGAGGGTGTAAATCTTTACGGGAGTAGAAAGCCTCATCTTTCTCCAGTGGAGCGGCTGGTAGTTTCGAACCGCTGACCTTAAGGTTCACAGCCCGATTCATAACCACTATGCTACCAGAGCTCCTTTCCTACAGAGTAGCTGGTGGGATCAAACACCAACCTGTGGCTAGCAGTCCAATGTTCATCCTACCACACCACCACAGTTCTCCATCAGGGTTGTTGGTGGTGATGTGCCAGGGACTCGGGTCCAACTCATAGCAACCCTGTATAGGGTTCCTGAGGCTGTGAATCTTTATGGGAGTAGAAAGCCTCCTTTTTCTCCCGCAGAACAGCTCATAGTTTCGAGCTGTTGACCTCAAGGTTAGCAGCACTACTTATAACCACTACACTACCAGAACTCCTTTCCTCATCAGGGTTGTTGTTGTTAAGTGACGTCGAGTCGGTTACAACCCATAGCGACCTTGTGTAGAGTTTCCAAGGAGCAGCTGGTGATCTTGAACCGCCGACCTTGCAGTTCAAATGGCTTTGCAGTCTGACTCATTAACCCACAGCGACACACCAGGACTCTAGGGTTAAGGTGAGGGGAATAAGTCATGGGAGTACACTACTGACAATAATATTAGAGATAATGGTGCTATACATGTGTCAAAGATTTCATCTAACTTGTTAATTAACTTGTCAACTAACTATGGAACCAGTGAGATACTACAAGTATTTATCCCACAGCGCCACACCAGGACTCCATATAGGCAATAAGGAATACTAAAATGAATTTGCAATTTGATTTTTAAAATAACTGGCTTATCCACAGGGCAATAATCATCCCCTCAAAAGACAGCACCACTCATATTCATTTCTATAGACAATATCATGCACACTGTTATCAGTTCCACCCAACTTGCATAATTATAAAGGAAGTCACAGACAATGAAATGTGGAGAGAACCTGAAAAGTAAAGCTAGACAGGATCCCCAGCAATCTTTTTTTTTAGTGCCCATTTCAGTCTTAGTCTTTCACAATATGAATAGTGAATGTTGAAGGCTGAAAACCAAGATATATACACTTTCTTCTCTCATCCTTCCCTCTACTCACCCATCCTCAGATTTCTGGAAGATTCTTAGCAATGTGGAGGGCACAAACCCTTGGGTGACTGTTTCTGGTTACAGGACCTCCCAACTCCACTTTTCCCCTCAGAAGACATCATTGGTTAAATTAAGTGAACTATTTAGAGGAAACTGTCTTTCTGTAATCCTTTATTTACCCTTGTTCAATTTCCTACTCTGGTATACATATTACAGTGCCCCTAGAAGTCCTACCATACACTAACAAAGAACTTTCAAAGGTTCAAGGTGGATTCAGAAGAGGACATGGAATGAGGGATAGATATCATTGCTAATGCCAGATGGATCTTGGATTAAAGCAGAGAATACCAGAAAGACGTTTGCTGCTGCTGCTGCTGCTACATGCCTTGGAGTCGATTCCAAAAGAGGTTTACCTGTGCTTTATTTACTATGCAAAGCCTTTCAATTGTGTGGATCAGGACAAGCTATGGACAACATTGCTGAGAATTATTATTCTGTAATACTTAATTGTGCTCATGAGGAACCTGAACATAGACCAAGAGGCAGTTCTTTGAACAGAACAAGGTAACACTGAATGGTTTAATATTAGGAAAGGTACACGCCAGGGATGTATTCTTTCACCATATTTACTCAATCTGTATGCTGAGCAAATAATCTGAGAAGCTGGATTATATGAAGAAGAATGTGAAATCAGGATTAGAGGAAGACTCATTAACAACCTGTGATATGCAGATGATACAACCTTGCTTGCTGAAAGTGAAGAGGACTTAAAATACTTACTGATGAAGATCAAAGACCACAGCCTTCGGTATGGGTTGCATCTCAATGTAAAGCAAACAAAAATCCTCACCACAGGACCAAAGAACAACATCCATATAAATGGAAAAAAGATTGAAGTTGTCAAAGACTCCATTTTGCTTGGATCCACCATTAACACTCCTAGAAACAGCAGTCAAGAAATCAAATAACTTATTGCATTTGGCAGATCTGCTGCACAAGACCTCTTTAAAGTGTTGAAGAGCAGAGATGTCAGTTTGAGGACTAAAGTGTGCTTGACCCAAGCCATGGTATTTTCAATAACTTGATATGCATACAAAAGTTTGAATAAGGAAGACTGTAAAAGAATTAATGTCTTTGAGTTATGGTGTTAGAGGAGAATATTAAAAGTACCATGGACTGCCAAAAGAGCAAACCGATCTGTATTGGAAGAAGTGCAGCCAAAGTGCTCCTTGGAAACCAGGAAGGCCAAACTTCATCTCTCATACTTTGGGCATATTATCAGGAGGTACCAGTCACTGGTAAAGGATATCATGTTTGATAAAGTGGAGGGTTGGAGAAAAAGAGAAAGACTCCCAACAAGATGGATTGGCACAGTGGCAGCAGTGATGGACTCAGACCTAGCAATGATTGTGAGGTTGCCCCAGGAATGGGCAGTGTTTCTTTCTGCTATGCATAAATAGGATCACTATGAGTTGGTACTGACTTGTTGGAACCTACGTACTTACTACTAGGAGTCCTGGATGTAAATCTTTCATTTGTAAAGATTTACAGCCTCAGAAACCCTATACAGGGTCGCTATGAGTTGGAACCGACTGGATGGTACACAGCAGAAGTAGCAACAGGAGTACTGGTGTGGTGCTGTAAGACAAGTACTGGACTGCTAACCACAAGACTGGTGGTTCAAACCCAGCAACCACTCCTTGGGAAACCTGTACAGGGTTGCTATAAGTTAGAACCAACATGACAAGCACTCAACAAGGTGGCACTACGAGCACTGGTGGTACTTAGGACATGCACTGGACTACTAACCAAAAGATTGGCAGTTCAAACCCACCAACAGTTTTATGGGAGAAAGAGGAGGCTTTCTGCTTCCATAAAGTTTTATAGTAGAGTGGGGAAATTCCAGCCTGAAGGCTGCATAAGGTCCTCAAAATCATTTGGTCTGGCCCTGCTAAGGCTCCTGCAGTTCCAACCATCATATTGTTGTTAAGTACCATCAAGTCAATTCCCACCATAGCAACCCTGTATAGGGTTTCCAAGAAGCAACTGGTGAGCTTGAACCACCATCTTTGTAATTCAAAGTGACTTTGTAGACCAGCACATTAACCCACAGCACCACACAACACTATCACATTGTTATTGTTATTGTTGTTGTTAGGTGCCGTCGAGTTGGTTCCGACCAATAGTGACCCTGT